TCGGGCGAAGTAGGGCCGCAGATCGGTTCCACCGGCTTTTATCTGCTCCCCACGACGTTCTTCAACCCCCGCTTAGCCGTTGGGCAGTTTCTTCACGCGTGTCCCGGCGGCCTGCACCACACTCCGAAATTGTCGGGGTGGCACGTTGAACACCGTTTAATCGTTGGCTATTGCGGCTGTCCCCGAAAACGGCTTCCTTGAACGGGGAAACCGATCTCGAAACTGTCGAACAGCTGGCAAGCAGCTCCAGGCACGCAGCAACAAACGAGTATTTCTCGGGTGTTCAGTCCCGATATGCCCTCGCGCCTGCGCCCCACTCCTGCTAAGTGCGATTTAGCCACGTCGTTGTCTGTTGCAGCCCGTAAGTGTCGGCGGGTCCAAAGTTCCCGTCTGTCCACAAGCACTTCTGCCGAAAATCGTCGACGACTCGCCCGCCAGTACGGTAAGCGCCGCACTATCCGGTCGGACGGGATAAAACTCAACCCCCGCATAATTCGGGCGGCTTGAGCGTCTATCTCTCCAGCCGTCGGGATCCTCTGACGCAAAACTCCATTTGCGCCTGGCGAGTCCTTCGAGCTGCCCTTTTCTTCACAGTAGAAACCTCCGAAATTGTCGCCCATGCTGACGCAGGCCCGTTGTCGCCAGCTGCCGAAGATTCTCCCGAGAATCTCGCGCACAAGATGACGGCTTGCCATCGACGTCACTTGCCGCGTAGGGACGACTCCGAAATCTTCGCGCAACTGTTGACGCAGATCCGCCAACGCCAGCTGCCACTCGTGATGACGACGTCGATGCTGTTCGTGCAGGTGCCGACGCAGGTCCGCTGACGCAGGCTGCCACACGAATCAAGCTCCGAAATCGTCGGAAATCGCAGCGGAAATTACTCACTTTAATGTCGCGACAGCTACTGCTGCCCGTCGCCCGGGGGGAGGGAGGTCATGGTCGATCGCGACCGTCGAGCTAAGGATCTGGCGGTGCCGAAGGAGTGCCCCGTAAAACCATGGCCGCGAAGAGCAACTAACTAGTTCTCTTGGCCGGCCTACGCAACTCCTGGACCCCAAGGCATCCTTCCTCGTCCCCCCCCCCCCCCGAGGGGTATTACACTCTAAAAAGCGGGGTAGGCTAGGAAAGTAGCTCTGATACCAGGTGTTATGAATGAACTTGTCAGAGTGCGCGGATATCGAATAACGAGAATGAGAAATTACAGAATGATTGAACAATGAAGTAGCGAGGCCTAAATAGGGGAAAACCTAGCTAGGCGGGGGGTTCGGGATGGGATGGCTCGGTGATGGCCACGATTGGAGCGGAGGCCGACTCGGGGGTGGTTCGGTGCGACGAAATAGGCATCGCAGGTTCGTCGCGACACCCTCGGGATGTCCTCGCTAACAACTTACTACAGTAAGGAATTCTAATTCCTTACAATACAGGTAAAAGTATTCTACAGCAAGAAATTATAATCGCTTATAAAAACTTCGCGTAATGAATCGAGCTCTAGGTACTATTTGGACTAACCCCACTCAATTTACCCGCTAATTCTACAAATCCACTCGCCAAGCTCAACCATCGCAGGAAATCATTCACGCGCTGGGCTAGAGACAGTACTGAGCAATCACGTAACTTACACATACCGCTTCTAATACAGTCTATAGACGAAGAGGCACACAGCCGGAACTGGGCACATTCGGTTGTTGCTAGTACTAATTCTCCCCTGCATGACTCCACATCTGACTGTAGCAAGTCTTTGTTGCTGCCTGACTGACTTGTCCACTTGCTGCTCCACCAAATTTGCTTTCGTACACGGCGGAGCCGGAGAAGGGAGTAGGAGGGCGGTGGGAGAAGCGGTGTCGTGAGGGGGATTCATAGAAACCCCTTGCTACAGGACTCCGAATTCGACTGCAGCGAGACTTGGCTGCAGCCTGGCCTGCCTTGACCTCTTTATGCCCATCAGGCTTCTAGTTTTGCAATGGGAAAAGGCAGAACGCTTGGAAAGAGGGCAGACGGAAAGGTGGGAGGGGTGGAGAGGGGTGGCTAGAATGCTGCGTACGTGCACACTAAGCAATAATAATAATAAATTAAAAAGGGCATACAATCTCTTTCAACATCATCACCCTCCCACCATTGTCTCCCTTGCCCCCCATCACTCACCTGCCCAAGGCACCTCCTTCACGTTGGGTTGGGCAGCGGCAACACACACACGTGTACAACCTAACAACCATGGCAACCCCTTTGCAAGGTGACTTTTGAGACGACTCAAAAGTCACCTCACAACCTAACAACCATGACAACCCCTTTGCAAAGGGATTGACGGAATCGAGACCGCAACAACTCTTCCCCCGCCTCTCACCTTCCTTCACCCGCTCACCTGCTCCAGGCACCTCCTCCACGTTAGGCGCCAGAACCCCACTGGCGCACTGCCTGCCCCTCCCACACTGCCTCCCTACCCTCCCTCCTGACCCCTCTCTCATGCTGCTTTCCCCCCATCACGCACTTGTGCACCATTTACCTTCACCTGCACCTGCCCCTCCCCTTCCCCCACTCCCTTCACCTGCCCCTGCCCTTTTACCCCCAACCCAACTGCACCTGCCGCTCCCTCCCCCCACCATCACCCCCCCCCCTGTATCTTCCCCCATTCAATTCCCCCCTAACTCACCCTGCCTCCTCCTCTCCCTCACCTATCCCAGTAACCTCCTACGCATTAGGTGTCAGAATTACACACATGGCCCTCCCAACACCAAACACCCGTGCACTACTCACCATAATCACACCCCTTACCACATCTTTTTTTCATCTGCCTTAGGCACCTCCTTCGCCTGTCCCCAACCACCCTCTCCTCTGCCACTCCCTTGCCCTCTACCATTCTCCTTCCCCCATGATGTGTGCACCATACACCATCATCTGCATCCACTCTCCCCAGACACAGTACTGTGTGTGTTACATTACCTGACAGCACCAACACCCCACCTCAAGACTGCCTGGTGTGTGGTGGCATGGGAGAGAGAGAGGGGGTGAAAGGGAGAGAGTGGAACGAACGGTGCACCACCGGCCCCACCTCGTTCAGCCGTGCACCACCGGCCCCACCTCGTTCGGCCGTGCACCACCGGCCCCACCTCGTTCAGCCGTGCACCACCGGCCCCACCTCGTTCAGCCGTGCACCACCGGCCCCACCTCGTTCAGCCGTGCACCACCGGCCCCACCTCGTTCAGCCGTGCACCACCAGCCCCACCTCGTTCAGCCGTGCACCACCGGCCCCACCTCGTTCAGCCGTGCACCACCGGCCCCACCTCGTTCAGCCGTGCACCACCGGCCCCACCTCGTTCAGCCGTGCACCACCGGCCCCACCTCGTTCAGCCGTGCACCACCGGCCCCACCTCGTTCAGCCGTGCACCACCGGCCCCACCTCGTTCGGCCATGCACCACCGGCCCCACCTCGTTCGGCCGTGCACCACCGGCCCCACCTCGTTCAGCCGTGCACCACCGGCCCCACCTCGTTCAGCCGTGCACCACCGGCCCCACCTCGTTCAGCCGTGCACCACCGGCTCCACCTCGTTCAGCCGTGCACCACCGGCCCCACCTCGTTCAGCCGTGCACCACCGGCCCCACCTCGTTCAGCCGTGCACCACCGGCCCCACCTCGTTCAGCCGTGCACCACCGGCCCCACCTCGTTCAGCCGTGCACCACCGGCCCCACCTCGTTCAGCCATGCACCACCGGCCCCACCTCGTTCAGCCGTGCACCACCGGCCCCACCTCGTTCAGCCATGCACCACCGGCCCCACCTCGTTCAGCCGTGCACCACCGGCCCCACCTCGTTCAGCCGTGCACCACCGGCCCCACCTCGTTCAGCCGTGCACCACCGGCCCCACCTCGTTCAGCCGTGCACCACCGGCCCCACCTCGTTCAGCCGTGCACCACCGGCCCCACCTCGTTCAGCCGTGCACCACCGGCCCCACCTCGTTCGGCCGTGCACCACCGGCCCCATGTGTCAACACGTGCTGCCTGATTGCTCCACCTCCTTCAGCACGCGCTGTGCCATGGGGTGGTTACATGAGAGCGGCGTGGGGAAGGAAAGAGGGAGAATCACTTTCGGCCCTGCACCACCTGCCCCATCTCCTCACCATCCCCTCCCGCTCCCCCACTCCCTCCTCCTCCGGCTCCTCCCAATCACCCCACTCCCCCGCAACCCCCTCCCCCGTCTCCCTTCTCCCCCTCACCCTCCCCCGCCTCCCCCTCCCCTGGAAGCTGTCTCGCATGCAGCACCGTGCGTTTCAATGCTTCTGCTCAGTGTCTTCCTCTTCGTCCCCCGCCTCACACCCATGCTCTCCCAAGTTGCTGGTTTCAACACGGTACATCAATTCACACCAATGCACCAACGCTTTCCATCGGCCTCCCCGCAGTATCCCTCCGCGTTCTCCTTCCTTCCCCCACCTCGCCCCCCTTGGAGCCCCTGGCGCGCAATTTCCCCCTTCTCTCTCCCCCGCCCTTCCCCACCCCTCCGCCTGCCCCTTCTCCCATCCTCCGCCATCCTGCTCCGCCCCTTGGTCCCCTTTCTCCCATCCCACCCCACGTTTCCGCCAAACCCAAACCACGCACGGCCATATCCCCCCTCTCCCCTCCCCTCCCTGCGCCTCCCCTCTCCGCTACGCCTCTCCCTCCGCGTCCACACGGCCACAGTCACTAGTGACCCCATCTACGCTCCCTCCCACTCTGGTGCGCACACCAATTTGCGCGGCTCTCGCTGCGACAGTCCCGCGTGAGTGCTTGCTCCTCGCGTCCCTGCTCTCTCGCGGATCGTCGTCTTTTTCTCTCTCGTCGACTGTCGTTGTCTGACGCGACAGCTATCGGACGCGTGTCCTTCCACCTGCCCCTTCTCTCGTCCTCCGCCCTTCTCCGCCCCCTGCTCCCCCTTCTCCCAAACCTCTCACGCCAGTAACCCCCTTCCTCCTCCCCTCCATGCGTCTCCCGCTCCCCCTTCCCTTCCCGGGCTTCCGCGCACCGCCCGCCAATGCTGCCCCCATCTCGCTCCCCCTCACACTGGCGCACAAACCGATTTGCGCCGACTCTCGAGGAGGCGGCGGTAGAGGCGCGCGCACAGAGGGAGTGGCGGTGGTGGCGCCGGAGCGCGACCGCGCACGAGCTTCCCTCTCTCCGCCCTTCCCCAACCCTCCACCTGCCCCTACTTCCCCCTTTCCCCTCCTGTTCCGCCTCCTGCCCCGCCTTCTCCCACCCCTCGCCTCGCTTCCGCCAAGCCCAAGCCGCGCGCCTGCATCCCCCTTTTCCCCTCCCCTCCCTGCTTCTCCCCTCCCCGCTCCCGCCTTCCCTTTACCCTCCGCACGGCCGCCGTCCGACGGGCTGCGCATCTGCGTTCTGCGCATCTGCGCTCCCCTTACCCCTCGCGCTCAAATCGATTTCCGCGGGCTCTCGCAGAGGCGGCGGTAGAGACGCGCGCGCGGCGGGAGTGGAGCTGGTGGAGCGGACAGTGGCGGTTGTCCAGGCAGAGTGCGACCGGCGCTACTCTCACTCATCGCTATTTCATGAACTGGGTCTTCTCGCTCTCATCGTCTACTCTCACTGTCGCTATTTCGTCGTCTACTGTCGCTCTGTCTGTCTCTGTTTCATCGTCTACTGTCGCTCTGTCTGTCGCTATTTCGTCCTCTACTGTCGCTCTGTCTGTCGCTTTTTCATGGCGAACTGGGCCTTCTCCTTTTTCATTGCCTACTGTCGCTGTTTCGTCGCCGTCCGTCGCTGTCTCGTCGCCCTGGCTGTCGCTTTCACGCGACGGTTTTCGAGCCACTATTTGACGCGGCTCCTGTGACTCCAGCCTAGCCAGTGGCCCACGCTCAACAAAGGCTATTCGTTATAAGTGCGCATCTTTCAAGAAACTGAAAAGCACTAAAACTAGAAGGCTGATGCGACTGAATGCCGAATGAATGTTCCAAACGAGATGTTGTAGGCAGAGTCGAGCTAGGCGAGAACGTCGGGGTAGCTAGGTTCGGAAGTGTAGCGAAATGTGCGGTAGCGACTCGGAAGTGGTTCGGAGAGATGTGAACGTGGCTAAAAGCGTTTTTCAGGTGGTTCAGAGCGGTTCCGAAGTGGTTTGGAGCGAACCACCTGACGCGAAAACCTCGGAACATACTCGACATTGTAAGGCTACAGTGAGAATGTTTATTCGTTACACAAACTCAACAAAATGAACTTCAATTAATTTCTCCACAAAATGCAACAAGATAGTAGAATCATTCATTCATCGACGGTAATCATTCATGCGAGTGCAGTAAAACTACGCAATCTCACACAAACTGTTAACATAATAAAATTCAGGGGGCACACACATGACACAACACAAACCAAACTGCAATGCAAGGATCATTGTCTGTCGGTATTTCTTTCCCGCATTACATGACTTCGCATTTGACTTTAGCAAGTCTTGGCTGCAGCTTTCAGAGTTCACAAAAATCATGACAAAAAAAGAGATATAAACTCTTGAGAGCCCCCAAGAATGTCTCACATCATCACCCTCCGTCCATCCTCTCAGTGCACACCCGCAGCAATGAGTATGTTCCCAGTGAATACTGCGCTCGTGTTGCAGGGGCAATAACTCATGGGCCGGACATGGGTGCGGTGCAGGAGAAACAGGTCTGCTGCGGAGCCGGAACGAACAGTGCACGGGTGAAGGGTTGGAGGAGGTGGAATTTGCGCAGGCAAAAGCAGTGCATTGCCTAGTGTATGAGCAGGAGTATGGGGAAGAGGTGGGGAGCTCGCAGCTGTGAGAGTCACTGTGTGAGTCAGAGTCTGTGGGACATTGGGGAGGAAGAAGCACGCGAGGAGGTGTGGAGAGGGGGGGGGGGAAGAGAGGAGGCGGTATGGTGGGAAGGGAGGGGATAGTGCATTGGCCCGTGGTGACAGTGTGCGTGCGTTGTGGAGGGGGGAGGGAGTCCGTTCAGTGGGGCAGACGAGGCCTTAGGAGAAGCAGGTGCACTGCAGAGCTGGAGGGAGGGAAAGTTCACATGAGCAGAGCTGGGACAGAGCTGGGGGGAAGGGGAGGGGAGAAGGGAGAAAGGTGGCAGTGGGGAACAGAGGGACAAAAGAAGAAAGCAATGAGAGGGGCGAGTGATGCAGGCCACTGGCTGCACCATCCACACCCAAACACGGAAGAAGCTTGGAGATGGGATTGGGGGGGAATGGGGGGGAATGGGGGCACTGAAGGGGAAGAAGATGGGAGGAGAGGCCGGGGGAACTGGAAGGGACAGGCGATGGGACAGGGGAGAGGACTAGGGAACAGGAAGAGGGGACACTGATACAGAGTGAGAAGAGACGAAGAGGGGCCAGCAGTACAAAGAGGCAAGTGGGACAGGCCCTGAGGGGTCAGAGGGAGAAAGTGGTAAGGTGAGTGGGTGAGAGAGAGGTGGTGAGTGATGGGGTGGGGGGGAGAAAGTAGATGGGGTGGGGTGGAAGTGTGAAAGTATTATATGGTTTGAGCGCAGTGAGTGTTTGGGGGAGGGATTGACGGTGGGAGATGCAGGTGGGATAGCCCAGGAACGGCCAGAAGGAGATACGAGTGAAGTGGGTGTGAGAGAAGTGGTTGGAGATGGGAAGGGGGGAGGAAGAGGGAACGATCAGTCCCCGTTAGTCCCGCGTTGCCACGTTGGATAACAGCGGGGAAGGGCATTCGGAGGGCAAGCAACACCAAGGGTGACTGAAGCATTCGCATGACATGAACATGACACGAGCTCGAGTCAAAAGTGACCTGCGATTAAAGTGACTCGGGACTGACCTGAGACTGACCTGAAATTGACCTGAAATTGATTTGAGAATGCTCTGAGAATGACCTGGGAAAAGCCTCTGAATGACCTCAGAATGACCAGAGAATGATCATAGGAGGGAAGGGGGCAGAGCCTTGATGGGAAGGGAAGCATAGGGGTTTGGGCAGGCGAGCGACAGGCGAGGGAGTATGAGACGCTTTTAAGAATTCTCACAAGCAACTTAGATGTAGTCAGTTTTCAAGTCCCTCATATTCTAGTTTGTTTCTTGGTTACAGAACCAGTTGGTGAGAACACGGTACAACATTGGAAGCTCACCTACCAGGTGGTTAGGGCAGTGCCTTGACATTTGAAGCCCTGTGGGACTTGGGACAGGTGCGGAGCTGGAGGGGGGGGGAAGGGGGAGGGGGTAGGGGATGGGGCAGGAAGTGCCGAAGGTGTGAATCAATGGTTTGAGGGCGAGAGCTGAGAGAAGTGTGGGGAGAGAGAACGGCGGGAGAGTTGAGAGAAGTGTGGGGAGAGAGAACGGCGGGAGAGTTGAGAGAAGTTGACTCGGAGACACAGGTGCAGAGGTGGGAGCAGAAGGAGGGGGGAGTTGGAGAGGGAAGTAAGAGGGAGCAGAGAAGGAGAGCAATTGAGAGATTCTTGCCCTCCTGTGAGCAAAAGCCATGGTTTTCTCTTTGTGTTTTGATTTTCCGGGTGGAAACATAGGTGCACAGGTGGGTTGGTTAAGAGGGGGAGGGGAGGGGGTAAAGGATGGGGAGGAAATAAAGGGATGGAAGGGGGTGAAGGGAGCGAAGGGGGTAAAGGGAGGGGTTGAGGAAGGGGAAAAAGGGTAAAGGGAGATGACGAGGGTAAAGGGAGAAGAAGGGGAAGAAAAATAAAAAGGAAGTGTAAAGGAGGGGGTAAGGTAAGGGCACGAAGCAGTGGCCTCGCAAGCAGTGTGCCAGTGCGAGCGGGTGCAAGTGGGTGCTAGTGGGTGCGAGTGGGTGAGAGAAGCAAACCGGCCGATAAGTAAGCACAGCCCGGCCAATGAAGCTCAGTCGCTTCAACTTGGGTGTGTGCCTGCTTCTCCTTCCCCCGCCTCACACCCATACCCTCCCACATTGCTGCCTTCATTCACCCGCACCCGCGCCCCCTCTCGTCCTCCTCCGCGTCCTCCACGGTTCCCCCACTCGCGGCCCTCCTCCCGCCCTTCCTTGCGCCCACCCTCTTGCCGCTGGCGCGCTCTCCCCCCTTCCCTCTCTCCCGCCCTTCCCACCCCTTTGCCTGCCTCCACTTCTCCCCTATCTTGCTCTGCCTCCTGCCCCGTATTCTTCCACCCTTCGCCTCGTTTGTGCCAAACGCGTGCGCGCATCCTCACTTCCCTCTCCCCTCCCTGCGCCTCCCCTCCCCGCTCCGCCTCCCCTTCCCCCTCCGCGCGGCCGCCCGTTACCCCCATCGGGGTTCCCTTCCAACTGGCGTGCAAGCCAACTGTCGCGGACTCTCGCAGTGGCGGCGGTAGAGGCGCACGGGCAGGGGGGGTGGCGGAGGAAACGGTTCCGCTGGCGGACGGAGGGGCGGCGGCAGTGGTGGCGGCGAGGAAGTGACTCAGGCGAAGCGCGACCGGCGCCGCGGCCTTCCGCCGCCACCGCTCGGGCCTGTGCTGCTCGCAGCGACGCTGCTATTTTCCGCCACTGCCACAGCCGACAGTCACGCGAGTGCTTGCCCCATCTGCCATTGCTGCTGCTCCTCGCGCCTCTGCTGCCGCGGCTCTCCGTCATCTGGTAACTGGCGTGAATCCAGGCGGAGCACAACTGGCGTGGCTTTCCACTGTCGCTCTCGTCTCTCGTTGTCGAGGACGCGGCGGAAGGAGCTCGCGCGCAGCGGTGGTGGATCCGGCGCTCTCGGGGGGAGGGGGGGGGGGAGGGGGGGGGGTGGTTGGGGGGGAGGAGGGGGGGGAGGACCGGTAACTGGCGTGAAGCCAGGCGGAGCGCAACTGGCGTGGTTTTCCGCCGACTCTTCACGCCGCCGCCTCCGCCGCCGCTTCGGCCTTTGCTGCTCGCAGCGACGTTTCTGTTTGCGCCGCTGCTGCAGCCGACAGTCCCGCCCGCGCGCAATTGCTTGCCCACGCGCCATTGCCGTTTCTCCTCGCGCCCCTCCTGTCGCGGCTCTCTGCCATCGTGAATAGTTTTTTAAAGCCTTTTCATCATTTACTATCGTTTTTTCGTTGTTAACCGTCGCTCTCTCATCGTCAACCGTTGCTCTCACTGTCCCCATGGTCCCTCACTCGTCGCCTACTATCGCGCTCGTCGCCTAGTATCGCACTCATCGCCTACTAGCGCTCTCGTCGTCTACTGTCTTTCGCTCGTCGCCTACTATTACGTTTGTCGCCTACTATCACCTACCGAATCCAAACTGGGGGTAGTATTTTCGCTTTTGTCGTCTATTGTCCCTCGCTCGTCGCCGTCTGTCTACTTTTTCTCCGTCGACTCTCGCTGCTTCGTCGCTTTCCGCGGCTCTCTCGTCACCTGCCTGCCAAGCTTTGACGCGATAGCTATGCCCCAGCTCTCGCTTTTTGAATGCGGGTCCCCCAGTGACCCCAAACTCGTAAGACGGTGACCAACCGTAAGGAGCCAAAAGACAAGGAACCTACAGAACTGAATGCCCAACGAATGTCAAAATCGAGGGGAAATACAGGCAGAGCCGAGCTACGAAAAAAGCGGGGTAACCAGGCTCGGAAATTGGCGAAGGTGCGGTGGCGACTCGGAAGTGGTTCGGCCCGACATGGTAGGCCGAACCAGTTGAAGCGAACCCCTCGGAACGTACAAGCTAAAGAACCTACAGAACAAATTATAATACCTTATGCATCTCAACGTAATGGACAGAGTTTTAGGTAAAACAGTGAAAATTCAGCAGATTCTACCTCGCAGGTAGTCACTCACACGCTACAACGAGTGCAAACTTACAAATATAACCGCATTTAACATGCCATACTATTGACAAAGAGGCAAACAACCAAAACTGCATGGATTAGCGGGTTGTAGGTACTATTTCTCCACTGCATGACGCATTCGACTGTAGCAAGTCTTGGCTGCAACCTGCCTTGTGGTGGTGGACCTCTTGCCGTCCCAGCAGGATTCATTTCCTACATGGCAGAGATGGTGGTGGGGGTGAGTTCGTGGTGGTTGTGGCGTGGCAGGGATTTGCCATCTTATCCCCATCTGCCCATCACTGCTCTCATATACTGATCATATCCCCATCAGGCTGTGCGCCCCATGGGTGTGCGTACAGCCCCTGAGCTTTCTTTCCAGCACGCATGCACCAACTGCCTCCTTCTCTCTTTCATCTCCCCCCATATCCCCGTCCCCCCCTCTGCCTCCGCCAGGATGCTCTTGAGCGGCCTAAGAACCCCAATGCTGTGTGGGTGAGGGCAAGCAAGTGAAGTTACCACAGTCGATAACTAAGAAAGAAAACATCTTAGCTGCGGTAGCCAGCAGTAACCTTGGTGAGGCGGTGGCGGGACAATGCACGAGTACTTGAATGGCCACCTAGTGTGTGCACATTACCCTTCACACAAGCACACCTGGGATAAGAACAACAGGCCACCTTAGTGGCATCTGTAGTACCAATACCCCACCTTGCCCTTTAGTCACCTTGTCCTGTCCTGCAGTCACCTTGGCAAGGCGGTGGCTGAGAGAGGCACGAGCACGGGAATGGTGCATGCATCAACCCTCACATGTGCACGTCATGCGTTCCCCACCTCAACGTGTGTTACCTAATATCACAGCACCCCATCATGTGCCTTATGCTTCATCGCATCACAGCTACTGCTTACTTCCCTCCAACTCCCTCACTCACTCCCCCTCACTGACTCACCTCAAAGATTGATTTCTGCAAGCAAATTCAAGCATAAACTGCTTACTCCCCACTCGCACCCTCTGCACACTCCCCCTGATCATTCTGCCATCCTTTTGCTACGGCGGTCAGCCCAGCCCACCTTCATTACCTGTATCAAACCAGCATTTATAGCCCACACACTTTCTCCGTCCCACCGTTCCCCCATCTGCCTGGTCCCATGGCACCACCTTAAGCAGCCCCCCATTCCTCACCTTCACCTGCACTCATCTTGGCTAGGCAGCGCCTGGAGAGAGGCACAACCTCGAGCATGCCACATGGATTACCCCTCACATACGCACTCTCAGAATAGAACCAACAACAGACCACCAAAGCTAGAACCCCCCCCCCCCCCCCCAAAGCTAGCTCATTCTCTGCCTGCCCCTCTCTCCTCCGCTCCGTCGCTGTCAGCACGTTCTTGAGAAGCATGTGCGCCTGCCCCATGGTGTGCGAGAAGCAGGAGTGGAGCTCGTGGAGGGAGGGCGGGAGGGGGGGCGGGAGAGGGCAATAGGTGTTGAAGGAAAGGTGCGCTGCTACAGCCTTGGCAAGGAGTGCACTCAGCAGCACGTATGTTTCCCGTAAACAGTGCACTCAGGGAGGGGGGGAATCTTATGGGCCAGAAATCTATTCACGACCCCAGCAGCCATGGGTTCCCTAGCCATGGGTTCCCTAGCCATGGGTTCCCTAGCCATGGGTTCCCTAGCCAATGGTTCCCCAGCCATGGGTTCCCCAGCAGGCCACTGGCTGCACCATACACACCCTGGGACGGGGGAAAGGATGGAGAGGGAAATGGGGATGGAGAAGGGGAATGGGGATGGAGAAGGGGAAGAAGATGGGGGGAGAGGACGGGGGCTGGGATGGGAATGGGGATGAGAATGGGGAACAGGAGGGGGGACACGGTTACAGAGTGACGTCTGATATGCACAACTTGAGGCTGATGAGAAGAAGAGAGGACAATAGTACAGAGAGACCGGAGGGACAGGCCATGCAGGGTCAGAGGGAGATTATGGTCAAGTGGGTGGATGAGAGAGAAAGTAGATGAGTTGGGGGTGTGAATGTTATTTGTTTTAAGTGCAGTGAGTGTTCGCAGGAGGGATTTACTGTGGGAGATGCAGAGAAGTGGTTAGAGGTGGAAAAGGGGGGAGGAAGTGGGGCCGATGTTGTATACGATCAGTCCCCGGTAGTCCGTTGTTGCCACGTTGGGTAACTCCAGGGCAGGACATTCAGAGGGCATGCAACACCAAGGGTGACTGAGGCATTTGCATGACATGAACATGACACGAGCTTGAGTGAAAAGTGACCTGCGATTAAAGTGACTTGGGACTGACCAGAGACTGACCAGAGACTGACCAGAGACTGACCAGAGACTGACCAGAGACTGACCTGAGAATGACCTGAGAATGAGATGAAGAGAGGAAGAAGGAGAAGGAGATGAAGAGGACAAAGAAAGGAGGAAAAGGGAAGGACGGGGTTAAGTTGACGGGGAGTGGGTAGGAGGAGGGGTAGGGGAGGGTTAAGCGGAGTGGGAGAGGGTAAAGGGAGGGGGAGGGGTGGGATAGCAGGAAAGGGAAAGGAGGTAACGGGAAAAGGGCAAAGGAGAAGAAGGTAAGGGCAGTGGTGGGTTAAGGGGATACGGGTGGGTAAGAGGAGTGGGAGAGGGTCAAGGGACATGAAGGGGTGGGATACAGGGAAGGGGAGCGAAGGGGAATGGGGTGAGGGGAGCGGGAGGGTCAAAGTGAAGGGGAAATGGAAAGGAGTGAAGAGAGGAGGAGGACGGGGTGGGGGAAGGAAGGGGGAGTGGATAACGAGAAGGCGAGGGATAAAGGGGAGGGAAATGGGGTAAGGGTAAAGGGAGAGAAAGGGGTAAGTGAAAGAGGGGTGGTTAAGGGTAAGGGGATCGAGGGAGGCGAGGAGCGAGCGTCGGAAGCAGACGAGAAAGGGAGGAGGGGAGGGGGGGAGATGGGGAGGGGAGGGGAAGGGCAGTGGGGAGGGGAAATGGCAGAGGGAAGGGAAAGGGCAGAGGTAAGGGGAAAGGTCGGAGGGGAGGGAAAAGGGCGGAGCATTTGGATGTGCTGTGTGCAACTTGTGCCAGAATGGGCGTGACGGCAGTGTTAAGAAGACCACCTTGGGATAGGGTAGAGGAGAGTTTGAAGTGGGTGGGTGGGGTGCGGTGGCTTGAGGTGGTTTGAACTATGAATGTTTCGTGCGGTGGCATGGCATATGCTATGGGGCGCAGAAGGGGCGGTTTGCTGCACATTGCCTCCTATTGCCGCATTGCCAGAACTTTCAAAAGCGCTGCCGAATTTGTTTCTCAGAATTCTCAGACGTGATTGCCAGAATTCTTAAAAGCGTCGCCGTAATGCATGGCTCCCTCTCCCTGCTCTCCGACTGAGGGGGGGAGAGCAATGGAGGCCTCACCATCTGGGGATGGTGGAGGGCCAAGAACAATGGGGAGGGTGACAGGAAGGAGGGACCTCTATCACGCCTGCCAGCACACGGCGCCTCATCGCCCTTTGCTCCCATGCATGAAAGGAATGGGTTCAGTGGGAGGGTTCAGTGGGAATGGGGAGAGGAGGAATACTCTTCAGCTGATTTTGAGTCGGCTCAAGAATGGCACGAGCATCCTCCAGCCCTGCTAGAAGTTTGAGGTGATGCTGGAGGTGAGGGCGGAGCTGAACATGCACCTCCTTGCTCCCTGTGCGTGGGGGAGGAGGGGGTATGGTACAGAGGAAAGATGGTGAATCTCCTTCCGCCCAGCACTGTCTGCCGTCCGCCCTGCTGCCCCATCATTCCCTGCTGCCCCATCATTCCCTGCTGCCCCATCATTCCCTGCTGCCCCATCATTCCCTGCTGCCCCATCATTCCCTGCTGCCCCATCATTCCCTGCTGCCCCATCATTCCCTGCTGCCCCATCATTCCCTGCTGCCCCATCATTCCCTGCTGCCCCATCATTCCCTGCTGCCCCATCATTCCCTGCTGCCCCATCATTCCCTGCTGCCCCATCATTCCCTGCTGCCCCATCATTCCCTGCTGCCCCATCATTCCCTGCTGCCCCATCATTCCCTGCTGCCCCATCATTCCCTGCTGCCCCATCATTCCCTGCTGCCCCATCATTCCCTGCTGCCCCATCATTCCCTGCTGCCCCATCATTCCCTGCTGCCCCATCATTCCCTGCTGCCCCATCATTCCCTGCTGCCCCATCATTCCCTGCTGCCCCATCATTCCCTGCTGCCCCATCATTCCCTGCTGCCCCATCATTCCCTGCTGCCCCATCATTCCCTGCTGCCCCATCATTCCCTGCTGCCCCATCATTCCCTGCTGCCCCATCATTCCCTGCTGCCCCATCATTCCCTGCTGCCCCATCATTCCCTGCTGCCCCATCATTCCCTGCTGCCCCATCATTCCCTGCTGCCCCATCATTCCCTGCTGCCCCATCATTCCCTGCTGCCCCATCATTCCCTGCTGCCCCATCATTCCCTGCTGCCCCATCATTCCCTGCTGCCCCATCATTCCCTGCTGCCCCATCATTCCCTGCTGCCCCATCATTCCCTGCTGCCCCATCATTCCCTGCTGCCCCATCATTCCCTGCTGCCCCATCATTCCCTGCTGCCCCATCATTCCCTGCTGCCCCATCATTCCCTGCTGCCCCATCATTCCCTGCTGCCCCATCATTCCCTGCTGCCCCATCATTCCCTGCTGCCCCATCATTCCCTGCTGCCCCATCATTCCCTGCTGCCCCATCATTCCCTGCTGCCCCATCATTCCCTGCTGCCCCATCATTCCCTGCTGCCCCATCATTCCCTGCTGCCCCATCATTCCCTGCTGCCCCATCATTCCCTGCTGCCCCATCATTCCCTGCTGCCCCATCATTCCCTGCTGCCCCATCATTCCCTGCTGCCCCATCATTCCCTGCTGCCCCATCATTCCCTGCTGCCCCATCATTCCCTGCTGCCCCATCATTCCCTGCTGCCCCATCATTCCCTGCTGCCCCATCATTCCCTGCTGCCCCATCATTCCCTGCTGCCCCATCATTCCCTGCTGCCCCATCATTCCCTGCTGCCCCATCATTCCCTGCTGCCCCATCATTCCCTGCTGCCCCATCATTCCCTGCTGCCCCATCATTCCCTGCTGCCCCATCATTCCCTGCTGCCCCATCATTCCCTGCTGCCCCATCATTCCCTGCTGCCCCATCATTCCCTGCTGCCCCATCATTCCCTGCTGCCCCATCATTCCCTGCTGCCCCATCATTCCCTGCTGCCCCATCATTCCCTGCTGCCCCATCATTCCCTGCTGCCCCATCATTCCCTGCTGCCCCATCATTCCCTGCTGCCCCATCATTCCCTGCTGCCCCATCATTCCCTGCTGCCCCATCATTCCCTGCTGCCCCATCATTCCCTGCTGCCCCATCATTCCCTGCTGCCCCATCATTCCCTGCTGCCCCATCATTCCCTGCTGCCCCATCATTCCCTGCTGCCCCATCATTCCCTGCTGCCCCATCATTCCCTGCTGCCCCATCATTCCCTGCTGCCCCATCATTCCCTGCTGCCCCATCATTCCCTGCTGCCCCATCATTCCCTGCTGCCCCATCATTCCCTGCTGCCCCATCATTCCCTGCTGCCCCATCATTCCCTGCTGCCCCATCATTCCCTGCTGCCCCATCATTCCCTGCTGCCCCATCATTCCCTGCTGCCCCATCATTCCCTGCTGCCCCATCATTCCCTGCTGCCCCATCATTCCCTGCTGCCCCATCATTCCCTGCTGCCCCATCATTCCCTGCTGCCCCATCATTCCCTGCTGCCCCATCATTCCCTGCTGCCCCATCATTCCCTGCTGCCCCATCATTCCCTGCTGCCCCATCATTCCCTGCTGCCCCATCATTCCCTGCTGCCCCATCATTCCCTGCTGCCCCATCATTCCCTGCTGCCCCATCATTCCCTGCTGCCCCATCATTCCCTGCTGCCCCATCATTCCCTGCTGCCCCATCATTCCCTGCTGCCCCATCATTCCCTGCTGCCCCATCATTCCCTGCTGCCCCATCATTCCCTGCTGCCCCATCATTCCCTGCTGCCCCATCATTCCCTGCTGCCCCATCATTCCCTGCTGCCCCATCATTCCCTGCTGCCCCATCATTCCCTGCTGCCCCATCATTCCCTGCTGCCCCATCATTCCCTGCTGCCCCATCATTCCCTGCTGCCCCATCATTCCCTGCTGCCCCATCATTCCCTGCTGCCCCATCATTCCCTGCTGCCCCATCATTCCCTGCTGCCCCATCATTCCCTGCTGCCCCATCATTCCCTGCTGCCCCATCATTCCCTGCTGCCCCATCATTCCCTGCTGCCCCATCATTCCCTGCTGCCCCATCATTCCCTGCTGCCCCATCATTCCCTGCTGCCCCATCATTCCCTGCTGCCCCATCATTCCCTGCTGCCCCATCATTCCCTGCTGCCCCATCATTCCCTGCTGCCCCATCATTCCCTGCTGCCCCATCATTCCCTGCTGCCCCATCATTCCCTGCTGCCCCATCATTCCCTGCTGCCCCATCATTCCCTGCTGCCCCATCATTCCCTGCTGCCCCATCATTCCCTGCTGCCCCATCATTCCCTGCTGCCCCATCATTCCCTGCTGCCCCATCATTCCCTGCTGCCCCATCATTCCCTGCTGCCCCATCATTCCCTGCTGCCCCATCATTCCCTGCTGCCCCATCATTCCCTGCTGCCCCATCATTCCCTGCTGCCCCATCATTCCCTGCTGCCCCATCATTCCCTGCTGCCCCATCATTCCCTGCTGCCCCATCATTCCCTGCTGCCCCATCATTCCCTGCTGCCCCATCATTCCCTGCTGCCCCATCATTCCCTGCTGCCCCATCATTCCCTGCTGCCCCATCATTCCCTGCTGCCCCATCATTCCCTGCTGCCCCATCATTCCCTGCTGCCCCATCATTCCCTGCTGCCCCATCATTCCCTGCTGCCCCATCATTCCCTGCTGCCCCATCATTCCCTGCTGCCCCATCATTCCCTGCTGCCCCATCATTCCCTGCTGCCCCATCATTCCCTGCTGCCCCATCATTCCCTGCTGCCCCATCATTCCCTGCTGCCCCATCATTCCCTGCTGCCCCATCATTCCCTGCTGCCCCATCATTCCCTGCTGCCCCATCATTCCCTGCTGCCCCATCATTCCCTGCTGCCCCATCATTCCCTGCTGCCCCATCATTCCCTGCTGCCCCATCATTCCCTGCTGCCCCATCATTCCCTGCTGCCCCATCATTCCCTGCTGCCCCATCATTCCCTGCTGCCCCATCATTCCCTGCTGCCCCATCATTCCCTGCTGCCCCATCATTCCCTGCTGCCCCATCATTCCCTGCTGCCCCATCATTCCCTGCTGCCCCATCATTCCCTGCTGCCCCATCATTCCCTGCTGCCCCATCATTCCCTGCTGCCCCATCATTCCCTGCTGCCCCATCATTCCCTGCTGCCCCATCATTCCCTGCTGCCCCATCATTCCCTGCTGCCCCATCATTCCCTGCTGCCCCATCATTCCCTGCTGCCCCATCATTCCCTGCTGCCCCATCATTCCCTGCTGCCCCATCATTCCCTGCTGCCCCATCATTCCCTGCTGCCCCATCATTCCCTGCTGCCCCATCATTCCCTGCTGCCCCATCATTCCCTGCTGCCCCATCATTCCCTGCTGCCCCATCATTCCCTGCTGCCCCATCATTCCCTGCTGCCCCATCATTCCCTGCTGCCCCATCATTCCCTGCTGCCCCATCATTCCCTGCTGCCCCATCATTCCCTGCTGCCCCATCATTCCCTGCTGCCCCATCATTCCCTGCTGCCCCATCATTCCCTGCTGCCCCATCATTCCCTGCTGCCCCATCATTCCCTGCTGCCCCATCATTCCCTGCTGCCCCATCATTCCCTGCTGCCCCATCATTCCCTGCTGCCCCATCATTCCCTGCTGCCCCATCATTCCCTGCTGCCCCATCATTCCCTGCTGCCCCATCATTCCCTGCTGCCCCATCATTCCCTGCTGCCCCATCATTCCCTGCTGCCCCATCATTCCCTGCTGCCCCATCATTCCCTGCTGCCCCATCATTCCCTGCTGCCCCATCATTCCCTGCTGCCCCATCATTCCCTGCTGCCCCATCATTCCCTGCTGCCCCATCATTCCCTGCTGCCCCATCATTCCCTGCTGCCCCATCATTCCCTGCTGCCCCATCATTCCCTGCTGCCCCATCATTCCCTGCTGCCCCATCATTCCCTGCTGCCCCATCATTCCCTGCTGCCCCATCATTCCCTGCTGCCCCATCATTCCCTGCTGCCCCATCATTCCCTGCTGCCCCATCATTCCCTGCTGCCCCATCATTCCCTGCTGCCCCATCATTCCCTGCTGCCCCATCATTCCCTGCTGCCCCATCATTCCCTGCTGCCCCATCATTCCCTGCTGCCCCATCATTCCCTGCTGCCCCATCATTCCCTGCTGCCCCATCATTCCCTGCTGCCCCATCATTCCCTGCTGCCCCATCATTCCCTGCTGCCCCATCATTCCCTGCTGCCCCATCATTCCCTGCTGCCCCATCATTCCCTGCTGCCCCATCATTCCCTGCTGCCCCATCATTCCCTGCTGCCCCATCATTCCCTGCTGCCCCATCATTCCCTGCTGCCCCATCATTCCCTGCTGCCCCATCATTCCCTGCTGCCCCATCATTCCCTGCTGCCCCATCATTCCCTGCTGCCCCATCATTCCCTGCTGCCCCATCATTCCCTGCTGCCCCATCATTCCCTGCTGCCCCATCATTCCCTGCTGCCCCATCATTCCCTGCTGCCCCATCATTCCCTGCTGCCCCATCATTCCCTGCTGCCCCATCATTCCCTGCTGCCCCATCATTCCCTGCTGCCCCATCATTCCCTGCTGCCCCATCATTCCCTGCTGCCCCATCATTCCCTGCTGCCCCATCATTCCCTGCTGCCCCATCATTCCCTGCTGCCCCATCATTCCCTGCTGCCCCATCATTCCCTGCTGCCCCATCATTCCCTGCTGCCCCATCATTCCCTGCTGCCCCATCATTCCCTGCTGCCCCATCATTCCCTGCTGCCCCATCATTCCCTGCTGCCCCATCATTCCCTGCTGCCCCATCATTCCCTGCTGCCCCATCATTCCCTGCTGCCCCATCATTCCCTGCTGCCCCATCATTCCCTGCTGCCCCATCATTCCCTGCTGCCCCATCATTCCCTGCTGCCCCATCATTCCCTGCTGCCCCATCATTCCCTGCTGCCCCATCATTCCCTGCTGCCCCATCATTCCCTGCTGCCCCATCATTCCCTGCTGCCCCATCATTCCCTGCTGCCCCATCATTCCCTGCTGCCCCATCATTCCCTGCTGCCCCATCATTCCCTGCTGCCCCATCATTCCCTGCTGCCCCATCATTCCCTGCTGCCCCATCATTCCCTGCTGCCCCATCATTCCCTGCTGCCCCATCATTCCCTGCTGCCCCATCATTCCCTGCTGCCCCATCATTCCCTGCTGCCCCATCATTCCCTGCTGCCCCATCATTCCCTGCTGCCCCATCATTCCCTGCTGCCCCATCATTCCCTGCTGCCCCATCATTCCCTGCTGCCCCATCATTCCCTGCTGCCCCATCATTCCCTGCTGCCCCATCATTCCCTGCTGCCCCATCATTCCCTGCTGCCCCATCATTCCCTGCTGCCCCATCATTCCCTGCTGCCCCATCATTCCCTGCTGCCCCATCATTCCCTGCTGCCCCATCATTCCCTGCTGCCCCATCATTCCCTGCTGCCCCATCATTCCCTGCTGCCCCATCATTCCCTGCTGCCCCATCATTCCCTGCTGCCCCATCATTCCCTGCTGCCCCATCATTCCCTGCTGCCCCATCATTCCCTGCTGCCCCATCATTCCCTGCTGCCCCATCATTCCCTGCTGCCCCATCATTCCCTGCTGCCCCATCATTCCCTGCTGCCCCATCATTCCCTGCTGCCCCATCATTCCCTGCTGCCCCATCATTCCCTGCTGCCCCATCATTCCCTGCTGCCCCATCATTCCCTGCTGCCCCATCATTCCCTGCTGCCCCATCATTCCCTGCTGCCCCATCATTCCCTGCTGCCCCATCATTCCCTGCTGCCCCATCATTCCCTGCTGCCCCATCATTCCCTGCTGCCCCATCATTCCCTGCTGCCCCATCATTCCCTGCTGCCCCATCATTCCCTGCTGCCCCATCATTCCCTGCTGCCCCATCATTCCCTGCTGCCCCATCATTCCCTGCTGCCCCATCATTCCCTGCTGCCCCATCATTCCCTGCTGCCCCATCATTCCCTGCTGCCCCATCATTCCCTGCTGCCCCATCATTCCCTGCTGCCCCATCATTCCCTGCTGCCCCATCATTCCCTGCTGCCCCATCATTCCCTGCTGCCCCATCATTCCCTGCTGCCCCATCATTCCCTGCTGCCCCATCATTCCCTGCTGCCCCATCATTCCCTGCTGCCCCATCATTCCCTGCTGCCCCATCATTCCCTGCTGCCCCATCATTCCCTGCTGCCCCATCATTCCCTGCTGCCCCATCATTCCCTGCTGCCCCATCATTCCCTGCTGCCCCATCATTCCCTGCTGCCCCATCATTCCCTGCTGCCCCATCATTCCCTGCTGCCCCATCATTCCCTGCTGCCCCATCATTCCCTGCTGCCCCATCATTCCCTGCTGCCCCATCATTCCCTGCTGCCCCATCATTCCCTGCTGCCCCATCATTCCCTGCTGCCCCATCATTCCCTGCTGCCCCATCATTCCCTGCTGCCCCATCATTCCCTGCTGCCCCATCATTCCCTGCTGCCCCATCATTCCCTGCTGCCCCATCATTCCCTGCTGCCCCATCATTCCCTGCTGCCCCATCATTCCCTGCTGCCCCATCATTCCATGTGTGCCAAGGCGGATGGGACACGGATGATGACTCAGGACTCACCTTCTAGAGGGGTCCTTCTGAATCGCAGCAGCTCTGCCAGCAGTGCCGCCACCAGCGCGCTCTGATCCGGGGTCGCCACCTGCTGTGCATACCTGACTGGGGGGGGGGGGGAAAGGGGAATGGGGAAGAGGAGTGGGGAAGGAAGAGGGAGGTGTGGATGGGTTGAGGGGAGGAAATAGTGGCGGTGGCGGATGGCCATGTTCAGCTCTGCTTGCCCCCTCCACTCTACGCCACTGTACTAACCTGTCTGACATTGCCTTTATGTTGCAGCACCATGCCAGACCTGCTGCATGCCTCACCTGCTGCATGCCTCACCTGCTGCATGCCTCACCTGCTGCATACCTCCCCCACTCACTCGTTTTCCTTCCACCAGCCTTCCATCCACCTCCCTTTCGTCCACTCCCCCTCCTCTCCCTCTTCCCCCTCCCCCTCCTCCCCTTCCACTCCCCCCCTCTCTCCCTTCCCCCACGTCTATATCGCCAGCACCACCATGCGTTTCAAGCGCCTCACTCTCTTCTGCTTCGGAGTCTGCCTCTCCTTCCCCCGCCTCACTTCCATGCTCTCCAACATTGCTGCCTTCACCCGCACCCATCCCCCCACCCACCCGCGGCCTTCTTTGTTCCCCCAATCACTCCCCTTCTCTCCGCGCCCCTTGTGCGCGCACTCCGCCTGCCCGTTCTCCACTCCTCCACCCTCCTGCCCCCCCCTTCTCCCACCCCTCGCCTCATTTCCGCCAAACCCCAGCGCGCACGCCCGCATCCATGCCTCCGTGCGCCTACCCTCCCCGCTCCACCTCAAACACCCTCGGCGCGGCACCCCGTCATTGCTGCCCCCAACCGCGCTCGCTCTCCCACTTGCGTGCGAAAAAAAGTTCGCGGAACTGGCGGTAGAGGCGCGCACGCAGCAGGGGTGGCCGCGGTGGCGGCGGCAAGGAAATGATCCAGGCGCTGCGCGACCGGCGCGGGCTTCCAACGCCTCTTCGCGCCGCCTCCGCCGCCGCCGCTACGGCCTGTAATGGCCGCATCGACGCTGCTGTTTCCGCCGCTCCCGCCGCATCTGCTATTGCCGCCGCTGGGAGCCCAGGTGCTTGCCCCATCCGACATTGGTGCTGCTCCTCGCGCTTCTGCCTTCGCGACTTTCCGCCATCGCAAAAATGTTCTCCTCAATCTCTCTCTCGTTGCATACGGTCGCTTTTTCGTCATCGACAGTCGCTGAATTGCCGTCGTCCGTTGCTCTATAATCACCTGCCTGTCGTTTTGATGCGATGGTTATCGAGCCACTAGTGACAGGTCATTGTTGCCCTTTCCTCTTGCTCGCAATCGCCTGCGCGCACGCGTGCTTGCCCAATCCGCCATTGCAGCATCTCTGCCGTTCCGGACCTCTCCGCCATCGCGAATTTGTTCTTCTCACTCTCATTGTCTACAGTCGCTGCCTCGTCGCCGTCCGTCGCGACTCTCGTCGCCCGTCTGTCGCTTCAACGCGACCACTATCTAGCCACCATCTGACGTTAAAGTTGGTTATATGTTGTTGGGCGTGTTATCCCAGCACCTCTAGATATTTTCGAAGTCTACCACTTTTCCAGCATTTTCATAACCATTGCTCGTATAGAATGTTAATTTCTGTAGAACAGAACTCCTTATCGAGATGGTACAACAGCCTCGAAGGCATTTGTCGGGAAAATCTGGCGTGTCGGGTCCGCGTCGCGCAAAGGCATTTGAATCGCAATGTGCGGTTCGATTTTTGTAATTTCGTTTCAATGGAAGCACCCCTTGCGCCTTCCTCCCCCGCCCCTTTCCCATCTCCCCTTCCCCCCCAAATCCATCATCACGACTGAATTCCACGTTGCTCTCCTCACCTCACCTCTTCCCACGTTCCAGACCTGTCCGAACAAGCAACCCCACCCCACCCTCTGCTTTCGTTTTGCACGCACAGCCCCGTACATAATCCACCTCCTAACACCGACCAAAACTACTCCACCAGACTTACCTTATCACCGACCAGCCGCTAGACCTCACCGACCACCAGCTATAGTTACGTTATCACGATGTACGCGCCGGCTACGCAGATGCACCACGGGTCCTATAAATGCCAGGGCGTGAGGCTTCAGATGTATCAGACAAGACATATTACCCAAACTTTTTATAAACCCAATCCGCAATCTCCTTACAATCTCTTCCTCTCCACGGCACCACCCCCGTTGATCTTTGAGAATTCTCAAGAATCGCAGTCGCTGCAGCCATGAGGCGTTCCAAGGTTTTCTTCGCCCTGCTCGCGCTCTCGCTGCTCGTATCCCTCGCGCTGGCGCCGCAGTGCCGCGCGAATGAGATCGCCGCGGACAATGACGACGCCGACGATGACTTGGACGCCGCCATTTCCGCAGACGCGTCGCCTCCTGGTGCGTGTGGTACCACGTTGCGCTCGGAAACGCCATGCGCTCCCCTCCGACCCTCCCCTGCTTTGCCTTGATGTAACAGATCACACTGAACCTCAGACGCGACGTTTTTGATTGAATTCGTTCGTTCCATGCCTTCCCTGTTTCCAGGTCTCGTGGATGCGTTATACCGAGTGAGCCGGCGGTTCCTGTATTCGCCGCGCATGCTGTCGTGCCGGTCTGACTGCGAGGACAAGAACAAGAAGTGCAACACTGATTACAGCGAGTGCAAGCGCGAGAACAAGGACGACAAGCATGACCACCACAAGTGCACGCACACTTACAAGAAGTGCAAGAAGAAGATCAAGAAGTGCCGCCGCAAGTGCGACTAAGTAGAAGACACAGAAAGTTGCAACGACTAGGACACTGGTTTAAGTTTGTTATTGAAAGTATGATTTCGTTCCAACAGTAATCCCAGAGCTAAGCCATTTTCAAGAGTTTGTACCTCTTCACCACGTCTCACACGCGCCTCTGCTGCCCCAGAGTACTCAAGCCCACACCACCGGTCGTGAGCACAGGAAAAACTTGATTATGAGCAGCACACACTCTAGCAGACCCTGCTATCCTGGACAACGCAGCTGATTCCAGCAGCAGGCTGCTGGCAGTAGCACATTAGGACAAAAATCATCAGCTTCTGCTGAATTTCTCCGATAGCCCTTCCTGGTTGACCCCCTGTGCAATACTTCTCCCCTGCATGGTGCCATAACACCACCCGTAGGTTACTGCCTGCTGCTCAGTCGCTCTGAAAAACTCTGAACCCGTACAAACCTGTCCTGCATATGGCACAATCAGGATTCCTTATGCACAACAATGTATTGCTGTATAGTGTATTATGTCGGCATGCTTTGTATTGTATCACAGAGATGTCAAACGAACAATCTTCTGTTTATGTACGACATTGAAAGAGTACAATCCTCTTCCAGCATTTATGCTGGCTTTGAGATAGCATGTAACAACAACAGCCAGCTTTCAATCGAACTACCTTGCTTTAGATCCTGGGAAAAGAATTGAAACAATCCTGTACTCCAAAACACCCGCAGCTACTGTAACCTGTACCAAACTGTACTAAATCGCATTTGGAAAACAACAATCACATCAGCACCACCACCAGCACCATCAGCACCAGCAGCCCCATGAAGCAGCAAAAGCGGCAGAAACAGCCTAGGAGCTGAGCTCCTTGGCGAGCTTCTCTGCCTTGGCCACCACCTCCTCGATGCCTCTCACCATGTAAAACGCCTGCTCGGGGAGATCATCGTACTTGCCGTGCAACACACCCTGTGAGGGGGATAGGGTGGTGTAGGGGGGTTGTGCAAGTGTGCAGAGAAGAGACAGGATAAGGGGAGAAGGGTAAACGGCCAGCCAGTAAACACCTCAGCCATGTAAACGGGCTGCCTCACAACCGTTCACATGAAAGTGAAATCAAGTGACAGCAGCAAGATTCGAACTCAGTGAACACCTCAGCCAGTGAACACCTCAGCCAGTGAACACCTCAGCCAGTGAACACCTCAGCCACGTGGAAGGGCTGGCTCAGGAAGCCATGCCCCCTGCTGTCAGGCCCCTTCACATGACTGTGCAATCAAGTGACATCAACAGGTATTGAACCCGAGAACTCACCTGGAAGCTGGTGATGCTCTCCTTGACATCCATGTATTTGCCCGGCGAGCCAGTGAAGACCTCAGCCACGTGGAAGGGCTGGCTCAGGAAGCGCTGAATCTTGCGCGCACAGGCCACCACCAGCTTGTCGTCCTCACTGAGCTCGTTCATTCCCAGAATGGCAATGATATTCTGAAATAGAAAGAGCAGAGAAGGATGGTATCAGTGGGGGCAGAGATGTGGAAGGGCTGGCTCAGGAAGCGCTGGATCTTGCGCGCACGGGCCACCACCAGCTTGTCGTCCTCACTGAGCTCGTCCATTCCCAGAATGGCAATGATATCCTGAAATAGAAAGAGCAGAGAAGGATGGTATCAGTGGGGGCAGAGATGTGGAAGGGCTGGCTCAGGAAGCGCTGGATCTTGCGCGCACGGGCCACCACCAGCTTGTCGTCCTCACTGAGCTCGTCCATTCCCAGAATGGCAATGATATCCTGAAATAGAAAGAGCAGAGAAGGATGGTATCAGTGGGGGCAGAGATGTGGAAGGGCTGGCTCAGGAAGCGCTGGATCTTGCGCGCACGGGCCACCACCAGCTTGTCGTCCTCACTGAGCTCGTCCATTCCCAGAATGGCAATGATATCCTGAAATAGAAAGAGGAGTGGAGGAGATGATGTTACAAAAAGGATGGGAAGTTTGCCCAAGGATGGGGGGCATAGAGTGCTCGTGAGGCATTTCATGCTCTATCAATAAAAACGCACTAAGGATGACTTGAGCCATAGCGTGGAAACAGTCTCTCCTGCAGCTTCTTGTAGTCCTGAAGCACCTCCTGCACGCCAAGAGTAGGTGGTGGAGGGACCCCTTCCAACCCCTTCCGACCCCTTCCGACCCCTTCCGACCCCTTCCAACCCCTTCCATCCCCTCCACATACCCCACTCACAGCAGGAGAGCGGTCTCACCTGCAGGTTCTTGTAATCCTGAAGCACCTTCTGCACGCCACGCGCGCACCTGTAGTGCTCCAAGCCCAGGACGGAGGGGGAGAGCATGCGCGAGGAGGAATCCAGAGGGTCCAAGCAGGGTAGATACCCAACTCGGAGATCTGCAGAGTGATTGGGTGGCGGGAGGATGGAAGACAAGGGTAGGGTATTCAGTGCGCCAAGCCCAGGACGGACGGGGAGAGCATGCGCGAGGAGGAGTCAAGGGGATCCACAGCGGGGTAGATACTCAACTCGGAGATCTGCAGTGGCGAGAAGCGGAGGGGACAAAGGAAAAGGAAAGAAAAATGAGTGCTCCATGCTCAGGATGGACGGGGAGAGCATGCGCGACGAGGAGCGGGGTGGATACCCAACTCAGAGATCTGCAGATTGTTTGAATTGTGGGAAAATGAGAGGGAGAGGGTGGGAAAATGAGAGGGAGCGTGGGAAGATAAGAGGGTGGGAAGATGAGGGAGAGGGTGGAAGGTTGAGTGGGAGAGGGCGCAAGGTTGAGTGGGAGAGGGCGGACTGTTGAGTGGGTGAGGGTAGAAGGTTGAGAGGGAGAGGGCGGAAGGTTGAGTGGGAGAGGGCGGAAGGTTGAGTGGGACAGGGCGGAAGGTTGAGTGGGAGAGGGCGGAAGGTTGAGTGGGAGAGGGCGGAAGGTTGAGTGGGAGAGGGCGGAAGGTTGAGTGGGAGAGGGCGGAAGGTTGAGTGGGAGAGGGCGGAAGGTTGAGTGGGAGAGGGAGGAAGGTTGAGTGGGAGAGGGCGGAAGATTGAGTGGGAGAGGGCGGAAGGTTGAGTGGGAGAGGGCGGAAGGTTGAGTGGGAGAGGGCGGAAGGTTGAGTGGGAGAGGGCGGAAGGTTGAGTGGGAGAGGGTGGAAGATTGAGTGGGAGAGGGTGGAAGATGAGAGGGAAGGACTGGGACGGTGAGAGGGACGGAGTGGGACGACGAGAGGGAGGGAGTGGGACGATGAGAGGGTGATGGTGGGAGGGTGGGAGGGTGTGAGAGAAAGTTGTGGCAAAGTGGACAAAAGTGGGACTGCAAGACCAAAGCGGGCGGAGAGACAGGCAAGTGGATGGCCTGCACTGACGTGAAGGAGCCCTTCTTTTGAGTCGACTCAAAACGAGGTGACTTTTGAGTCGACTCAAAACGAGGTGACTTTTGAGTCGACTCAAAATAGCCTGCACTGAAGTGAAGGAGCCCTTCTTGGTGACGTGATTCCCTCCCTTTGATTGAACCCCATCCACCCTACTGTCCAACCACCCACCCACTAGAAGTTTACAGCACACACACTGGCTCACCTGATGAGACAGCACGGTGGTAGAGTCCAAATGCGCGAAGGTGGAAGCAGGGGCAGGATCCGTGAGATCATCAGCAGGCACGTAAATCGCCTGCACTGACGTAATGGAGCCCTTCTTGGGCCTCCTGTTTAGCCGCCCCTTCACCTCCTTGACCTTTTTTCCCCACCTTTCCACGCTCAACAAAGACGATTCCTTTCCTCACCTGGCGAGACAGCACAGTGGTGGCGTGGCGTCCACATGCGCGATCGTGGTAGCAGGAGCAGGATCCGTCAAGTCCTCAGCAGGCACGTAGATGGGCTGCACTGACGTAATAGAACCCTTCTTGGAGGTGGGAATGAGTCTCACCGTCTCAACTCACCTGGCCTGCCATCAGCTCCCTCCACTGACCCTCACAACTATTCCAAAGCCACTTGCAGCGACTTACAGCAATTTTAACCGTCGGGGCAAAATCAAGTTCCTTGCTCCCACCGTCGGGGCAAAATCAAGTTCCTTGCTCCCACCGTCGGGGCAAAATCAAGTTCCTTGCTCCCACCGTCGGGGCAAAATCAAGTTCCTTGCTCCCACCGTCGGGGAAAAATCAAGTTCCTTGCTCCCACCGTCGAGGCCGAGTGACTCGAGATCATCTCCCCTGCAGCCCGGCCCCGACCACCGTCGTCACCGATTCTCAGCTTGGCGATCTCCAGCTTTTCAACTGCCCCCCGGCCCTGGCTCTTTCTCAACCACCCCGGATGGAGTCTGACCTGCCACTGACCTGCAACTAACCTGCTACTGACCTGCAATTAACCTGCTACTGACCTGCAACTAACCTGCTACTGACCTGCAACTAACCTGCTACTGACCTGCAACTAACCTGCTACTGACCTGCAACTAACCTGCCACTGACCTGCAACTAACCTGCCACTGACCTGCAACTAACCTGCTACTGACCTGCAACTAACCTGCTACTGACCTGCAACTAACCTGCTACTGACCTGCAACTAACCTGCTACTGACCTGCAACTAACCTGCTACTGACCTGCAACTAACCTGCTACTGACCTGCAACTAACCTGCTACTGACCTGCAACTAACCTGCTACTGACCTGCAACTAACCTGCTACTGACCTGCAACTAACCTGCTACTGACCTGCAACTAACCTGCTTGTGAAGAGTGGGTAAAGAAGCGGGAGAGGTAAGTGAAAGGTGAGTGTGTAACGTAAATGTAGAATAAGAGGATAAGTGAAGTTCGAGATGGTCCTGGGATGGTGCCTGGGCAAGCAGTGTTGTGCAAGTGGGTGAGGGTGGGCATGGGAACAGCAAGCAGGAGCGGAGCAGAGCTGGAGGGGTTATCGACGAGGGGAGGGTGAGAATGGAGGGATTGAGCTAGCCTCAACGCCAGCCCCATCAGCAGCCCTCGCTCTGGCAGACCCTCCCAGTCCTTCAAGTGACTGCCACACACATTCCCCCTTCACAGCGACTGGTCACAGTCTCCCATCGACTCTCACACACATCAGCATCATCCCCCCTCTCCCCTCCTTTCTCCCTCCTTCCCTTCAATCCCCTTTCCTTCACTGCCCCTTCATCCCCCTTTCGCCCCCCATTCACCAGTCCCTTGAGCGAATCTCACATGCGCCTCAACCCCTCAGGACGTCTCACGCTCACCTTGGCAACTTCCAGTTTGTCAGCTGCCTGCCAGCCCCATCAGCATGCCTCCATCCATTCACCACCCCCTCAACCTCCTCTTCTCTCCCTGACGCTGCTACTGCCGCCACCAACACGGCTTGTGCTACTTGGCAGTTTCCCCGCTCATCTCACCGTTTGCGGCAGCGGGGAAATGGAGAAGGCAAATCTCTTTCTGCCCCACGCCGCCTGCCCCACCCCCTTCAGCCCTGCCAGCACACGCCGCCACATCGCTCCTTTCCCATGCGGCAGGGAAGGGGGATGGGAGAGGGATGGGGAGGGGGGAGTGGTTAAGGGTGTATTCCCAGCTTTTTTCATGCTGTCATCAGCTGTTTCTCGATTTTGGTTGTTTTGTTATTATTATTGTTGTTGTTGTTGTTGTTGTTGTTGTTGTTGTTGTTGTTGTTGTTGTTGTTGTTGTTGTTGTTGTTGTTGTTGTTGTTGTTGTTGTTGTTGTTGTTGTTGTTGTTGTTGTTGTTGTTGTTGTTGTTGTTGTTGTTGTTGTTGTTGTTGTTGTTGTTATTATTATTGTTATTCTTATTACTACTACTACTACTATTACTATTATTATTATCATTATTATTATTACTATTATTATTATTATTATTATTATTATTATTATTATTATTACTATTATTATTATTTGTGGCAGAAGTTAAGCTGGCTACTCTGAATCACACCTCCCTTTAGTGTGTGTTAAGATGACTTGGTGCCATGCCACTCGACCCATGGCTGCAACCTAAGTTGGGCTCTTACGTTTTTGGAGGTCACGTAAACGTAAATTTCGCGTAAACGTAAACGAAAACGTAAATTACGCGTAAGTATGAGGCGGGCAGGAAAAAAAAAAGTTTATAGCTTTTTTTTCCAGGATTATGTACGTGTACTAGATCCTTACTACTAATCCGACGTGTGTTTTTCTAGAATAGCGACTTTACTACGTATGGAGGGCCTTTTGAGTCCGTGAAAGTTTCAGATTCAGCGTTGACCTGGTTAGTAGGAGAGAAACACGATAGATTACGAACGAGCTGCTAGGTTGACACCACCCTTGTCGAACTTGGATCTGAATCGAGAATTCAGATTCATGGTTTACCCAATGAATCCCCCTAATACTCTGGTCATTTCTTTTCCCTTGGGCAGCTCAAAAAAGTTTTGAGGTGACCGTAAACGTAAGGCCGAATCAGGGCCACCGTTCGTAAACGTAAAAATTGTCGTAATTTTACGAAAACGTAAGGAACCGTAAACGTAAGATCCAACTTAGGCTGCAACGTACAATACAATGTTGCTTGCAGATTGCGCTGCACGATGAATGTGACATTCGACACACTTCCAGACATTCCGCAAGTGGCTCCGAGGAGCTTTTATACGGATCAATTTTCTGACCCACTCGTCCCGCCCACTCAAACGTGGTTCCGTCCACTCTGTTTGCTGAAGCTCGCCACCTAGACCCAAAATTGCAGGCAGACCCCTGGTACGGCAAGATTGAATTCGCAACGTCACAAACAAACACCAGATGAAACGGAGCTGGGAATATGCCATGAAGTGGGAGAGGGGTGGGGAAGTGGAAAAGGATACCGCCTTGGTCCCTGTTATTTTCTACCTGGCCCCCATTATTTAGCCTTGCAAGCACGCGACACGTCATTGCAACCTGTTCAGTGGGGTGTTTAAGTGGTTGGGAGGGGGATGGGAAAGGGGTTGATGGGATGGGAATGGGGAGCCGGAGAAAATTCATCAGCCCCACACGACCTGCCCCACCTCCTTCAACCTTGCCAGCACATGGCAACCTGTGGAGGGGGAAGGAGCGATCTTCTTCCCTGCACCCATGGGAAGAGGGAGGGGGGAGTGTGTCAAGAGAATTAGGCAAAAGAGAGAGTGAACTAGCAAGAATGGGGATACAAATAGCAAACCCTAGAAGGGTTGTACTCGCTACAGAGCACCCCACTACAGGCTAGAGCATAATATTCTGACACACCCCCATAGCCAAAGTGGGGTGTAATCAGCAGAGGAAACAAAGCAGTACAAGCTCAGGGTGGATCACGATGTCACCACACATTCTGAGCACAAGCAAGAAGCAATAGTTTAAGGTTCACAATTATGAGCAAAGCTAGAGGCAGTCACGGGGGGCAAGTGAGGAGGAGGAGGGCTGGCGAGAGGAGAGTAGATAGGAGGCGACGACTGAAGCTGCAGACACACGGGCAACAGACGGCTCTGGTGCGACAACGTGGCTACCGGGAATGAGTGCCCCGGAGTACAGGAGTAACAGGCTCCGCGGCTAATATGCGCGGCAGGAGCAACGGACCCACAGGCGACGGCGCAACCGGCTCTCTGAGCTACCGGTGGCTAATCGACCCCCGGAATACAGGCGCTGCGGACTACACGACGGCGGCCTCCGCTCAACCTCCTCCAACTGTCCCACACCCCTCGACACACACCCCCTGCTTCAAACCCTAGCTCCACTCCGACGGTACCCCCCTTTAAACCCTAACCCTCGGCTCCCACACATCCACCCCCCTCAGCGGCAGCTGCAGCAGTGGGAGACGGAGGAGGAGGAGGAGCAGGGCACGGCGCACACACACGGCACCCCCATAGCTGCCACCCCCACACTCCTCACCCCCAAACCCTAAAACGGGCGGAACGGGGGAAGGAGCACGGGGGACGGCGAGGGGGACGGCGCGCGGCCCCCAGGACGCCACCACGGGGCAGCGAGGGGCCGCGCGCGGCTCCCCAGGGCGGCGCGACGGGAAATCGGGGGCCGCGGGCGACGGGATCGGGGGGCCGCGGGCGACGGGATCGCGGGGCCGCGGGCGACGGGATCGCAGGGCCGCGGGCGACGGGATCGCGGGGCCGCGGGCGACGGGATCGGGGGGCCGCGGGCGACGGGATCGGGGGGCCGCGGGCGACGGGATCGCGGGGCCGCGGGCGACGGGATCGGGGGGCCGCGGGCGACGGGATCGCGGGGCCGCGGGCGACGGGATCGGGGGGACCGCGGGCGACGGGAAAGCGGGGCCGCGGGCGACGGGAAAGCGGGGCCGCGGGCGACGGGATCGGGGGGACGCGGGCATCCCCCACGGGAGGAAACCGCCGCGCGCCTCGGGGCGCACGGCGGGGAGAAACCCGCCGCACGCCCCGAGCGCGCGGCAGGAAGGAGGCGTCGCGCGACCAGTAGAACAGCAGCGGAAGCATTTGGTGGTGGGCCCACCCACAGGATCGACCCAACAGGATCGTCCTGCTCTGATAGCATGTCAAGAGAATTAGGCAAAAGAGAGAGTGAACTAGCAAGAATGGGGATACAAATAGCAAACCCTAGAAGGGTTGTACTCGCTACAGAGCACCCCACTACAGGCTAGAGCATAATATTCTGACAGAGTGGACGGGGAGGGGGAATGGAGAGGGAGAAGGGGGGGTATGCCGCATGCGTGTCAGCAGCAACGTGACCCTGCCCTGACCGGGGCGGCAAAGTGACTGCACGGAGCGTGGCAACATCACGGTAGAGGTGCGCAAGGGAAGTAGGTTGGCGGCCGAGAGGTGAGAGGGGGGCCTGGCAAGGCATGGCTTGGCTCATCACCCAATCACCCCATTGAGATTGTCTTTCTGGGACGCCGTGACTTGGAACCGCAACACGCCCTTTCCTCCCATGCCTCTGAGATTAAATCACCTTGAGGGGGAATCACCTTAAGGGGGCCTTTTTCGAACACCCTGTCTTGGATTGGAGTCGCAGCGGCACCGACAGCAAAGCAGCCAGCAGCGCGTTCAGCTCAAGGGTGACCACGTGGTGGGCGTACCTAGAGGGCGAAAGATGGGGCACAGGGTGATGGGGTTGAATGGTGGGGACGACAGGGGTATGGGTGGAGTAGCAGTGCATACGCCAGCGCGTTGAGCTCTGGTGTCACCACCTGGTGGGTGTAATGGGGGAACAGGGGGGCAGAAGAGCGGGGATAAGGGGAAAGCGGGGTATTGAAGGAAGGGGGAGAGAGAGAGGTGGGAATTCGGACAGCAGCAGCAGCAGCTCCGCCAGCAGCAGCTCCGCCAGCAGTGCAGCCACCAGGGTGCTGAGCAATGATCACCTCACCTCACCTGGTGGGCGTACCTGAGAGGGGAAGGGAAGAGGGGCCAGAGGGGAGAGAGAGGGAAAGAGTGAAAGGTGGGGGGGAGGAAGAGCGGTTGCGCCAGCAGTGCAATGCGGCCACTAGTGCAGTGGGCTCCGGTGTGCAACCTTCAGCTGGCTGGGTGTACCTGGGCGGGTGGTTCGAGGTGGTTCGAGGCGGGGCTGTGGCATGGGACTGCCGTAGCAAGGCGCACGGCACGGCGCAAGGCGTCACGGTCACCATCGGTGTTTCAGGGCTGGTGTTCGGTTTGGTGTTGCTGTTTGGAACCCTACACACCCCACTCCCCTCCCTGACCTTGCCCACCTCTCTGACCTCTCGCTCCGTTCCCACCAAACCCAAACCACAAGTGCCTGAAGCCCCACTTCCCCCTCCCCTCACTGCACCTCCCCTCCCCGCTCCGCCTCCCCATCCCCCTCCGCGCGGCCCCCCGTCACTGATGCCCCCAGCTGCGCTCCCCGTCCCAGTTGCGCACATACGGATTTCCGCGGATTCGCGCGGAGGCGGCGGTACAGGCGCGCGCAGCGGGGATTGAGGCAGTAGCGGTGATGGTGGCGCCGGCGGCGGGGGCGGCGGAAAGGAAGTGATCCAGGCGGAGCGCGACTGGCGCGGGCTTCCACCGCCTCCTCGCTACGCCGCCGCCGCCGCCACCACACCGGCCTGTGCTGCTCGCAGCAACAGTGCTATTTCCGCCTCTGCCGCTTCCGCCGCCGAGAGCCCCGCCTGCGAGCCTGTGCTTGCCCCAGCCATTGCCGTTGCTCCTCGCGCCTCTGCTGTTGCGGCTCTCCGCCACCGCGAAATGGTACATCGCGGAAAAGGGAAGTGCGAAAAAAAACCTAAAAGTTACTGTTTCGTAACTTTCCAGTTGCATTTTCCGCGCAAGAAAAAAGTTTGACTCGTAAACAGTGGTAGCGTCAGTAACTTGCGAAGTGACTTTCCCGTCACATTCCCAACACAAACTGTACACTTCGGTGCAATTGTGAGGTATACGGTAATGCAACTATGGGGGTGGAAAACGTCACTCTTGAGCAACCTGTGCGAAAGTGTCACGACAGCGCCACGTGGCATACAATGTACGCTAGATGAAACTGAAACATGCTGACGTGGCAGTTTCTGTACGCTAACGTGAACCGTCGGATCCTGACAATATCAACGCCCGTAATCGTGCCATGTGGACCAATCTGATGCAAAATGGGGTGTGAGGAATCGAATTACATTGGCTGGCGAAGCGTCTGTATCCGGTTGACGAATCTCCTATATTGGTGTGCGCTTTTGGTGGTTTAAAACATTTATTCTTTTAAACGTTGAGCTTACAAGGCATACAAATGAAAACAGTACTACACTACACATAATGCACGGCTAAGAAGCCCTGCAAGCTCTGCCAGTTAGAAAACGAACGTAACCGGGAAGAACAAAGGAAATTGAAACTTTAAAAGCCAAACCATATGCTCACCATTGGGGTTCTTAGTACTGGAGTATGCTGGAATGGTGAAGAAAAAAATAATGTACTGCACTCCGGGTTGACAGTAAGCCGGCAAAACCAGGCACGTTCTGCAGCACATGCAAACACAGCATAGGAGATGAGTACTCCTGAAAAACGCAAAGTATGCAGTTTCGTACTCACCTTCTTTTAATCGTTGATGGTTTGTAGAGTCAAGTGCTTAAATGGCTAAAAATAAACATACTGCGACGGTAAGCCTGCGAAACTAGGTACACTCTGCAAAACATGCAAATACAGGGTGCTGTTCGTCAGCGGGGTTAGTAAAAGCAGAGTTAGACACCAAAAGTCAAATACTTAGCCTTACCATTTGTCGCGTGGCCACAAGGCCAGACACTGAAGACTTATCGTCGCTACTTGCGTGCATGCCCACAGCGACATGGTCGACACCCGTCTACCAAGTTCGTCGACTTGTTATGCTGTTGCGACTGCTTTAGTCGCAACATATGGATCTTCGCGACGACGGTTGCTACGCACGAAACGGA